TGCCCATGGCAGGGGGTGGGACTCGATGTGATTTATGGTCCTTTCCAACCCAAACCATCCTGGGATTCTGTGATTCTGTGGCAGGGTCCTGCATGAGTGGCCTGGAGAAGGTGACGGTGAAATTCAGGTGGGATAAAAGGAGAAGGTGACGGTGACGTTGGGGTGTGATAAAAGGCAGGGGCCAAACACAGTCGAGGCAAGAGTGAAAGATGCACACCCTGGAGAAAGGGGTTAGGACAGTAACGAAGAGCCAGCCTGGAAAAGGGAGAATGGTTCTAAGCAGGAGACAAACCTCCAAAGAAAAAGGAGGTGGTGCCCTCCCAGACCCAGTCTGGGCCTCGGCATGGGCAGGGACTGGGAAGCTGCAGTGAACCGGGCAGTGAAAGGAATAAAAGAAACCAGCGCCCAGCAGCGTTCCCAGGGACAGTTCATCCTCCGCCTGCACACTTCTGCCTCTAACATCAACAACTTGATGCAGCTGTGAAGCATCGCTAAGAGGCGTGTTTCGTTCATCTTTGGGGTTTAACTGGTGTGATGACGAGAAATCCAGGGCTGGAAACCATTAAGGGAGTTTCTATGAATATATTGAGTAACTTGGGTTAGTAAAAGTAACTCGTGATGGATTTCCTCCTGTCCCCAAAGAGGGTTTTCCTGGTGACCTCGCTGGGTGCGACGCCTTATCCAAAGGGGCTGGGCTGGTTTTTTTGCTCTTTCGTATACAGGTGTGTATCTGAAATCTTCCACAGTCTGGTGGATCACAACATTTTGTTTAAAAGTAAATTCATTATTTTTTTCCCTCACGTCATGTTTGTTATTCATACCCTCAAGGGAACTAGTTCAGTAGGATGGGAAGAACCTGTAAAACCCTTCACGTGCCTTTCTAGAAGGGAGTAAAGAAAATGCTTCACTGAGATTTACAGTCAAAAAATAATCACACCTGGAGACAAGAGAGTTCCTTTTCGGATTTTCCCTCTAAAGAGCTAAAGGCATCCTGTCCCCAACTCCACACTGGCTGGTCATGGGGCTGTGCATCTAGGAAAGGGCTCACCCAGCTCACACCCTGCTTGTCCCCTTTCCCAAACGCCTGCGGATGTCCCCTGCTCCTGGTGGGGACATGCAAGACCTGCACCGAGGACACATCCCCACAAGCTGTTCTCTGCGACCTGCACAGGCTGAGCAGTAATAACGGAACGTGTGACACCTGCAACACAAAGGGCTGGATCCCCGGGCAGCCAGGGTGGGGTCCCCTCCTCACACTGAGTGACTTTGTCCTGTAGGAGCAGAAGCGATGCCACCACCTTCCTGGCAGGGTTTGGAGTCTGACACTTATCAATCACAGAATCCCAGGATGGTTTGGGTGGGAAGGGACCTTAAAGCCCACCCATTGCCACCCCCTGCCATGGGCAGGGACACCTCCCACCAGCCCAGGTT